ACCACATGTACTGTGGCATGCACTACATCAGAGATCTGCGCAGTTTAGCCAAGGGCAGAGGGGACATGGCAGGTGGGGTTGGGAACTCCCAGAGGAAAGGACATACCAGTTGGACACTCAAGACACTCAGTGGCTCTGCTCACAGACAGAGCCCCCAGGCTCACAAGTGGCTACCAGGAACATGTGAACCCACCTCTCCTCTTTCAGTCATGTCAAGGCCAAACTAGAGTGCTACCAAGTGAAGCTAGCACCAAGAGGCCATGAGAGTGAGCGGGAATGGGGGATAGGGGAGGCAAAATCAGGGGGGGAGGCCAGGGTGGGCTCAGAGCAGACAAACTAGATTTCAATTCCTAGTGAAGCAGCTGGAGAGAGTGGGGAGAATTCCTAGCCTCAGTTACCACATCTGTAAAAGGGAGGTCATGGGCTGAATTATGCCCTTGAACCTGGTGGTTACGGGAGCTGGGCCCCACGTGCCTGACAGTTGTTCAAATCCCAGGCTGGAAGGCTTGAGAAACACACTGGTGCATATGTGTATGTGCCCCAGATCTCAACAGGGTGGAGAAACGAAGGGTAAGGGACCGTGGGCTGACCATGCCCTACTCGGGGAAGGGGTGCTTTCTCCCCTTCCCGCTGGTGAGCACACATGCCTTCTGTCAAAAAAAAAATTTTTTAATTAAAATTAAAAAATTCTTGGGGCTGGCAGGTGACGTGGTTGAAGTGCTGGATTCCCACATGGGCAACCACAGTTCGAGTCTCAGACCTGGTGGCTTGCTCTCTCACTTTCTCTCTCCTTCTCTTGTCAAATTAAAAATTTATAATAACAAATAAAATAAAATAAAAAATACTTCTATTTTTATGATTATTATTGTTATTTTTAAATTAATTTATTTTTTTATATACATTCAATGACATTGTTTAGCTTATGAAGTGAACATTTCAATATGTGAACATTTCTCCCCAGTCCAGTTGATCAAAATATCTTCAACAGATTACACCACCCTCCCAGTCCCGTCAATGCTCTGCCTCTGTATCCCTCCTCCAAATGTCCTTCCCCAGGCCCCTCCCCTCCACACTCATCACATCTGACATTCACACCCATCTCTTGTGTTTGTGTATCTTTTAGTCAACCAGTTTTGGCTGATCATGATTATTTTTTAATTTGACCAGTAAGAGAGAGAAAGGAAAAGTGATAAAAGCAAGTTGCCAGGTCCGGGACATGAATGGTGGTCAGCCATGTCTAGCGCCTCAACCACCACGCCACTTGCTGGCCCCTTTGGCAAAATTAAAAACAAAACAAAACAAAATCTTAATCTGAGGACCTTAGGATGTGATTATGTGAAGATGGGTCTTTTGAGAAATATTTAATGTAAAATCAGGTTATGTGGGTGGACCCTAATCCAATCTTCCTGAGGCCCTTAAATGAAACGAAAATTAGGTCAGAGACACTCAGAGCCATGTGAGACACAGGGAGAAGGTGCCACCTGCGAGCCAAAGAGAGAGGCCTCAGAAGGCATCCATGCTGTTGACATCATGATCTTGGGCTTCTGTGCTCCAGGACTGAGAAAACAGGTTCCTTGGTTTAAGCCACCCAGTCTGCGGTGCTTTGTAAAAGCAGCCCAAGCTAGTCAACAGGATTCACAGTCAATGTGTGACTTACACACAAGAGTGTATGTGGGGGAACTAGCATGAGGGCAAGTCAACCTTGTCACTCACGCTAGTCCCCACCTCCTTCTACTCCCCTATCATCATCTCCAATTTATGGAGGACACAAAGGCCCAAGAAGAGTGACTGCCTAGTGAGTCATCAGAACGCCCTGCAGCCTCCACCAGGTTCTGTCTGGAGACAGAACCAGAGGTTTAACAGATACCTTATACTGCCTGGGTATGGCTAAGGAGGCAGATCCTAGTGGGACATAGGCCCAGGGCTATAGACAAGGGACTCAGCCATTTTCAGAGCCTGTGATAAGCAGAGAGACCTGGGTGGGATTTGGGGTCACGGCGTGGGGTGAGGCCCTTAGCAGAGACTAGAATAAGCTACAGTCTGGCGAGCTGCACCTTCATCTGAGCAACTGGTCTCCCTCGTCTCCAGATCAGATGTTAACTCAGGCCAGACCGCCTGGGAAGGACTGTGGTTATTTTCGGCATGGCTACCCAATGCTAATTAGGTAATGGCTTGGAAACACAGCGAGTGCTGGGAGCCTGCCTGTTCCCTAGCTCTCAGAACAGTATCTGTTCCTGGCCTGGCAATGCCATATCCATTCTGCCTTGGAGGAGAGCAATGAGTGGCATGAGCTGGAGTAGACAGGCCCACTTGTGGAGAAGGGTGGTAGGAAGGTCCTCCAGGGCTGGGCTTCTCTGTCCCCAATACCCCCAGTCTGGACTTGCCAGTTCTGCCCCCGGGCTCAGAGAAACTTGGAGAAACCACATAGTAGCACTACCAGCTGAGACAGACCCTGCCATAACCCCCAGGACAATCTCTTGCCACCTGGAAGCCCTGAGGAAGTGAGAGAAGCATGGGGAAGGCCAAGGTACAAATGCAGGAGGCAATTATGTGGATGCTGTACTACTGGGATGGTACAAGGAGGCTCTGGACTAGGGAAGGCCATGCACTCAGCAATAGTATTTACATATCTGCTCCGTGGGGACCTGTGTGAGCACTGAGGAGGAAGCACTGAACCAGGCACCACGCCTGGTCACCAGTCGACCACATCTGCCAAGGCAGTGTCCTGTGCCTCATTGATAAATCTGCTACACTGTATGCATTGTAGGATTAGCTGAAGATTACTTAAAATGAAAGAGGAAAAAAAAAATCTCTCCCACAATGTGTTAAAATTAAAATTTTAGGTTATGTAAATTTTTACATTTATAATTCGAACATTTATAGTTTAAAATTACCAAAAATAATGTTAAACTCTAGTGGGGGCAATTCAGGGACTTCTGCATATGAATGTAGATTGACAAAGGCACTAATAGGCAACCACTGAATCCAGCTATAAAACCTGCACATAATGCAAAGAGAGACCACCTGAAAGCGATGGCACATGAACAGAAGCAGCCAGGCTCTGGTGGGGATGCATGGCTGCCTAGAGGAGAGAAGACGAGGCTGTGCAAGAAACATATTCTCCAGAGCTTGTAGTAGGGTTCACCGAGGAGGAGCACACGCCAAGACCCCTGTGGCCTGAGTAACTTTAGGAACCAGAAAAGCGGAGCCAGAAAACCATGAGGTCTAAAGAAAACGGGAAAGTCCTTGCAAGACAAAGAGTCAGAGAGAGACGACTGGCAAATTCCGACAACTCACAGCTCTGCTTGAGCCTAGAACATCCCATGCACAGAACAAGCTCGAAGGAGCTCAGCTAGATGATGGGATCTGAACCAGCCCAGAGCTACCACTCAAGCTACCTGCTAAAAGGAAGAGAAGAAACACATGAGATGAAAATGTCAGAAGCCAGAATCTGCACGACTTAACATACTAATGCCCAAAATGCAGCAGAAAATTACAGAACACACGAAGCCTTGAGAGAATGACACACTTTCTTGAGGGGGCAAGAAAAGATAATCAGCTGAGCCCAAACCCAACTCAGTCCCACTCCAAGATGAGCCTGATGTTGGAATTAACAGACGGAGATTTTAAAGTAGTGATTACATGAATCTACAATGTAATAAAACAACATATGTTTGGATGAACCAAAAAGCTCAACCGAGGAACAAGTAGTCTTGGCAAATAAAGAGAAACAATAAAAACTGAACAGAAATTCTAGTAAACATGTAATTGCAGAAATTATAAAATTCTCAACATGGACTTAATAGCAAAAAGGACATTTCCAAGGAAAGAGCAAGTGAGCTTGAAAATAGGTCAAAAGAAATTATGTAATAGGAAGAAAAATGATTAAAAGAACAATGAATGGAGCCCCAGGGATTTGTTTGATGCTATCAGATGATCAAATATATGTGACTAGACTATCAGGAGTCAAGAAAGGATGGGGCTCTACCAGTATGAAAACCTTGCAGTGACCCAGGTGAAATCAGCATGATTAGTACATGATAAAGAGAAAGGAAATGAGTCGATTACCTGCTGAAACAGCAACTGGGTGGGGAAAGCAGGATGGGAGCCAGGCTTATGACGTCTAAAGAAACATACTTTCCATCCTGTGCCATGCATCTTCTGGGAGCCAGAGAAGGAACTGGCAGGGCCTGAGCATGCTGGGTCCATGCGCTGTACCTTTCTAGCTCCATCCAGTGAGTTCCCACTGCCCCCACATAGTCCCTGCAGCCTATACCTGCCTCTTCTCTAGTTCCCTCCTGGTGGCCTTCAGCCTTGGATACCATCACTACCAACTTTCCTCCAACTTGCGTCCATCTTCCTTAAGTGCCTCACTTATTTGATTTCACCTGTATAAAAGCCATCATTGGCTCCCTAGTACCCTTTGGACAGGGTCTGTATTTTTGGCCTGGCATTCACAGTGGTCATCAGAATGTCTTTCTTCCATAGCTCTAGGATGACACTTTCAGATCTGTCCCATCAACCTAAGAGACTTCTTTCCTTTGAACACTGCAGGCCTCCAGGCCTTGGCTCACGATGGACCGTGTACCTGGACACCCCCAAGGTTGACCTATGCTAGCCCTGCTCCAGTACCACTTCGCATGACTCTTAGGGTTTTCCACCTGGAAAGGAGCTCTGCCCATGGATGCCCTTGTCTGCCTCTTCCCTGAACTTCCCACTATGGACTCTCGTGCCAGGTGTGCACGTGTTGCCTCTCTTCCCTAAAGACTCAGCTTGTGGACACTGCAGTGCTTCCCACAGGAATGAAAGAAAGGGGCTTGTGAATGGCACTCTGTTCCCGCTCCTCCCCTTCCAGGTGTCTACACTTTCCACAGGGGGTTCTGTGGAAGCCAAGCCTTAGCTACTGCCACCCTGGAAGGGCAGCTAAGGAAGAGGATGGAGGCTGAGGGGCAACAGCCTGACCCTGCCTCCGAAGCAGAGGATGAATTATTGTTACTGACCTTTGACCCTGTCGCCACGGTGAAGGGGGATCTCGCCGTCGACTTGGGGTTGGTATGGCTTGACGACGACGAAGAGTCTCCCAGGCACTGCGCTGTAGAGCTTCCGCTTGGGCCCCGGGTACTCGAAGGCTGAGAGTGAGTCCTTGGCAGCAGGAGCAAAAGACGACCTGGATTAGGCAAGAGGGGCAGAGAAAAAGCAAAGGGTCATGAGGCCACACCATGCGCCATGGCCAATCCATCCAGAAAAACTATCTTGAGCAGTCACAGTGGAACTCATGATGACAACATGAACTGGCCTGGGGGTAGTGTTCATAGTTAAAAGACCAAAGAAAACCTGGCGATTCCACTTCTGGGAATATCCTCAAAGGAACAGAAAGCAGGGTCTTGAAGAGATGTCAGTGCACCTGTGCTCATAGCAGCATTATCCCCAATCGCCGAAAAGTGGAAGCAACCCAATCTCCATCAATGGATGATGGCTTAACAGAATGCAGTCTAGTCACGCAAAAGGAATATCATTCCAGCGCCTGCTGCAGCACAGATGAGCCTCGAGGACAGTATGCTCAGTGAAATAAACCAGCCCCAAAGGGGCAGAGGCTGTACGATTCCACCCACATGCGGTCCCTAGAGTAGCCAAATGCCACACAGACAGGAAACAGGACTGCAGGGGCCAGGGCATGGAGGAGGAGAACAGCAAATTAGTGTTTCACGGGACAGTTTCAGTTTGGGAAGATGGAAAAGTTCCAGGGATGGATGGCAGTGCTGGTTGCATGCTGGTACAGATGTACTTAATGCCACTGAACCGAACACCTAAAAAGGGCTCAGATGGTAACTTTTGTGCTATGTGTATTTTACAACAGGTTTTTAAAAATGACTCAGGTGGATGCAGCAATCCAAGTAAGCCTTAGGTGTTCAACATTTTACCCACTTCACGGTGAGCATCAGCTGTGCTGGGTAAGGAGACACCCAGAACCTTCTGTCAAAAGTAACAACAGGTGCTGGCACGTGGCGTGATGGTTAAGAGCGCTGGTGGGAACCAGCAGTTAGCGTAATGGCTATGTCGCTGGACTCCCACGTAGTCGACCATGGTTCGCATCCCGGACCTGGTGGCTTAAAACTCACGCCGGGCGCGTGTGCGTGCGTGCCCAAGATCCCGAGAGGAGAATGGAGGAGAAGGGATTGCAGCGTGACCATCCCCCCGGGGGGTGATTTCTCGCTTTCTGTCTCTATGTCTCTCTTTGTCTGTCTGGTGAGTGCACGTGCCCTATAGCAAAAACCTCTCAAAAAAAAAAAAAAAAAAAAAAGAGCGTTGGACTCTCATATGGTTGGCCGTAGTTTGAGTCCTGGGCCTGGCTGCTTGCTTTCTCACTTTCCCTCTCCCTCTCTCTCTTTCTCACACTCTGTCCCTCTCTGATCAAAATAAATGAATAAAATAAATAAAGTTAAATACAATAATTATTTTTTAAAAATTAAGTGTAATCATGGTGCACCTGCCCACTCCAGCAGCCACTCAGCCACACTCCAGGAAAAATGTATATCCATTTTTGGTTTATGTCTCTGATTTCATGAAGAGCTTTGTTTCTCGGCTGGTTTCCACGCCCGATAGCAAGACACGCCTTTAACCAAGCCCAGCGATACGATGTGTGAAGCAAAGACATTTCACAGATAAACGTGCAGAGTAGTTTTTCACAATGACATTGTTGCATCATTTGATGATGACGAGGACCAACTATTTCTAGGACAGAAAAAGGGCACATCCTCCCTTGTTCATATCCTAGCCATGAGGTGTCATTTTGACTTCTCTTCTCCTAATGGGAGTCTTTAGAAACAAACATACAAATAGAAGAAGCTGGAAGAGATTTCAGGGTGACATTCCAGAGCACCCTGGTCAGAACGATAAGAAAAGCATTCACCTGCAGCTGCTGTCTTTCAAGAGGGCCCACAGCCAGAGGAAATGAACCAAAGATTAATGACACACGGGGGAAGGTTCCAGAATTAGAAGCACATCTGTGACTAGGCAGGGATGGACTCAAGTCACAAATTCACGACCATGAAAGCTGCGGTTCCTGACCGTGGATCTCTCAGACCACAGATTCTGTGGCTTCTGAGCCTGCCAAGCAGCCTCAAGCTTCCCAACCTTAGGTAGGAACTGCTTTAAAATAGGCTTGCAGAACAGGACCAGCAGTTAGCGTAATGGCTATGTCGCTGAACTCCCTTGTAGTCAACCGCCGTTCGCGTCCTGGACCCAGTGGCTTAAAAAACTCATGCCGGGCGTGTGTGTGCACATGCCCAAGATCCCGAGAGGAGAATGGAGGAGAAGGGATTGCAGCATGGCCGTCACCCCTGGGGGATGATTTCTCGCTGTCTCTCTCTCTCTGTCTGGTGAGCGCATGCGCCCTATAGCAAAAACTTCTTCAAAAAAAAAAAAGGCTTGCAGAGAAAATTCTAAAAACTCCTGGTATTTAATAGACACTGAGAGGGGTCAAGCTGTGACCTTCTGGGCAGCTGTAACTCTCCTGTCCCCAGGGATATCATTCCATCTTCAGGGTTTTCTCCAACCAAGCCAAGCCAGTCACAGGTATAGTGTCACAGAATCCTGGGGACTCAGGTGGACAGGGAGCTCTGTCACCACCAAGCACCCTTGGCACAAGGAGGAACCTGCAGGGCAGGGTGTGGCCTCCTCAACCAACCCCTCCTTGTCTAGCCCGCTACACATTTATGGCACAGCCAGGAAACTCCACACAAATTTGCCCCCAAAAGCCAGATATCCCTTGGATAACAATATTTATCTCCAAACATTCCAAGTGATACAGAAGCAGTGACTTGTAGAACCAAGTTGTCTGGCCACCTCTTGTCCAAATACACAGCTCAGTAAGTCCTCCAACTTACGGCTAGGAAAGACGATCGGGCCACCTGCACCTCTAGCTCCATCTGAGAGGACTCTCCAGTAGCCTGCCAGTCTGAACTGCTGCATATGCACTGGTATCAGATGCATGCATTCAAGCCCTGGCGACTCACTGTGCCTCAGGGGCTGGGTTGGCTCTGAGCCACAGCTGAGAAATGAGGGATGAGCATCTTACCCACAAGGCACTGAGCATCTCAGGGTTGCCTCCTCTCTGGCCTCCGGTTGGGGTAGGTGGAGGTGAGTTCTAGCAAATGTGAGGACTCAATTCCTCTGCAACAGGGAAGTGTCTCCTGGCCATTCGACCTGGATCCGAGGGGCTCAGTAGAGGGCAGTGAGTTCCAGAATCCACTTCCCATGTGGGCCTAGCCACACCTCCACTGCACCACCACCCAGCCCTAAAACCCATTTCTTGATCCATTTTTTTTCCCCCCAAGTATTCTGGTTAAATTTATTATGTATCAACCCAGTATTTTTTCTCTCTTTTTTATTAATTAATTTATTTTACATTCATTCACTGAACATCACCACAGTATACAAAATGCAGTTTCCCATCTAGAATCCACTGTATAGTGGCTTAGTCATACATGTTATCATCAACAAGTAATTTTCCATTTCTTGTTTCTTGATCCATTTTGGAGACACTCTATCCAAGGGCATGAAAAGTCTTTATCTAAGAACAGGAAGGATTTATTCCTTGTAGACCAGAGCGTAAACAGGCTTCTAGGAACCAGTAGCAATATATAGTCCCATGCAAATGCTTAACGATCTTCTTATGTGCTGTGAATTTGAACCTCACAAAGTCCCACAAAGGCAGTAGGGTAGGAAACTTGGTTCCTATTCTATAGGAGGGATAATGGAGGCTCCAAAAATAGTGATGTGGTTATGGAAATACAGAGCTGACCCTCATATCCTGATTCCCTGACCATACACTGACAAGATCACCTGCGTGCCAACGTGCCTTACCTTTTAGATGCCTCCTTCATAAACTATGACCTCCTGGCAGGAGGAGCAATGGCCCCTCCATGGCCCAGGGTCAGGAGTGGCCACTTGTCTAAGAATAGGAAGCAAAAGGGGGTATACTAGGGGCTGCTTCCATCCTGCCCACCAGAGGAGATGGGTCTGAAATTCTTCCCAGCCCAAACTTTCTATGTCTTCCTTATGTTCTGGCCAACAAGCACCAGAGAGAATTCTAACTTGTTTTGGTGTGGAGACTGAATCACTGAGTTCTCATATCAGAAAAAGGGATGCCTTCTCTGTGGGGTGACTTGGACAAGTGAATTAGGCTATTTCCCAGAAATGCTGGATGAATAGGGATGCACCAACATAATGAAGTTCATCTAGTCTTTCATTTGCTGGGCTGTTACACAATCATCCATCCATCAGCAAGGGTTTGGGAGGGGGATGCTGGCTTGTGTGGGTCTACCCACCCCCACGAACATACGGCAAAGATGTGGAACTCCTGGAGCTCACAGTTAACTGGGAGATGTCCAAGTCAACAACATGCATTTCTGCATGTCTGACGGGTCAGTACAGAAAATGGAGAGGATACTTGAGTTCACACAGCCACCCAATGAAGCATAGAAAGAGGGTGCTATGGTTTGAACATGTCCCCCAAAGTTCATGTGTCAGAAATGTAATCTCTAATGCAACAGTGTTGAGAGGTGGGACTGTTAGGAGGTAATTAGGCCATGAGGTCTCTGGCCTCATGAGTGAATGAAAGCCATTACTGTGGGGTGGGCTTATTACAGGTTCCATCCTGCTCTCTTGCCCTTCTGCCTTATGTATGGATGCATGGATGCAGACTCTTGACTTGAGACTTCCCAGTTTCCAGAACTGTCAGAAACACATTTATTTTCTTTATTAATTATCCAATCTTTGATATTCTGTTATAACAACACAAGGAAGACTACGCCAGAGGATAAGTGGAAGCCAGGCAGCTCAGAGTGGCAGCTTAGGCCCCAGGAATGGCCTTGCAGAGATACCGAGAGCAAAAATGATGCCCCAGACATCACCAGGGCATCCTGGCTGAAGCATCAGAGATGGATAGAGTGGTCAGAGGATGGAGGAGGGAGGTGGGGAGCCTCACAGTGAGACCTTTATAACCATCCCAGAGGAGATAGAGGGGGCCCGACACAGTCAAGAAAGAATTACAGCTATCAAGAGGCAGAATCACCTTGGACCTGGGGCCATGCTAGAAACTGGGATGTGTTTCCAGGTTACGACCCCTGCAGAGGGTTGGAAGGAGGTGGTTTGAGAGTTGCCACC